GCGGAGGTACTTGGTGTTGCGGAGGTACTTGGTGTTGCGGAGGTACTTGGTGTTGCGGAGGTACTTGGTGTTGCGGAGATACTTGGTGTTGCGGAGATACTTGGTGTTGCGGAGATACTTGGTGTTGCGGAGATACTTGGTGTTGCGGAGATACTTGGTGTTGCGGAGATAGTTGGTGTTGCGGAGATACTTGGTGTTGCGGAGATAGTTGGTGTTGCGGAGATACTTGGTGTTGCGGAGATACTTGGTGTTGCGGAGATACTTGGTGTTGCGGAGATACTTGGTGTTGCGGAGATACTTGGTGTTGCGGAGATACTTGGTGTTGCGGAGATACTTGGTGTTGCGGAGATACTTGGTGTTGAGGAGGTACTTGCTACTTGGTGTTGCAGACTGAAGAGTTGTGGAGTAGTTGTATTGTGATGGTGCTGCCTTGATTTGCTCATTATATTCCGTTTTCTACCATCTTGTAGTACGATGTAATTTCAGGGTTGGGAGTCTTGTCTTCAAATAGTTTCCGTGACTGCTTTTATTCTCCAATGTTTTAATACCTCTCTGCTTCTGAATGCTTCCCCCCCCCCCAAGGTAATTAGAATTTAGTTTGCAGTTGTTACCTTTTCAATCGGCTTGTTCTATACGGGAACAAGGTATATATATACGTATATACGGGAAGTGTGGTGTGGGGGTGACCCCCGTCACCACCACTGGGCAGGGAGAGGGCCGGAGGACAGTGTGGCCGGACGCAGGTCGTTAGTAGGGGGTGGGAGGCAGGAGCGGCCGGCCGGCGGCACCACCACCACCACCACCACCACCACACACCTCAAAGACAACATTCTAACACGCACATGGTGGCCGGGGCGGCTCAACCTGCCGTGTGTTCTCCCTCTCCACGGGCGAGTCTTCCTCCCTCTTATTGCTGACAATGTCCTCCTTCAACACTCACCAAAGTTTCCCAACGTTTTCTCTCGCTTATCTTACCATACTTGCCGGGTTGAGGTTGTTAACAGGTTGCTAACCATCAACTTGAGTGTCTCGGTACATCACAACCTGGTGGGTGGGGAATAGTGGCTGAGTGGACAGCGCTCGCGATTCGTAGCCCTAGGGACTAAGAATCGCGATCGATCCCCGGTGATGACGGAAACAAATGGGCAGAGTTTCTTTTACCTTGATGACCCTGTTACCTAGCAGTAAATAGGTACCTGGGAGTTAGACAGCTATTATGGGCAGCTTCCTGGGGAAGGAGGGGGGGTGGAAATCAGTTGATTGTCAGTTGAGAGGCGGGCCAAAAGAGCCAGAGCTCAACCCCTGCAAGCACAACTAGGTAAATACACAACTATGACTCCCAGCACTCATATTTACTATTAAAGTGAGCAATAAAACCATAGTCGCTACTCCAACAGCGCAGTTCGCTCCAAACAGTTGAGTGCCACGAGGCGCGGTCATTGCGTCTTCACTCACCGCACACGCCTCGACCAGCCAATGGCCAGGGCCTCGCCCAAAATATATCGACCGCTACATCAATACCGCAGGCGCTGATACACGTGGTGGCGCACCTCACACCATCCTGGGTCGATAGTATTGGTGTGTAGAACAGTGGTGAACAACAGTTATTCACGGAAGATTTTTCAATAAGTGTTGATATAAATAGAGCGTATGGCCGCTGCAGAAGGAGCGGTGCGGCAAGTAACACGGAGGAACAATGTGTCTCACTGGCACAGTGCGTCTCGCTGTGGCATCGATCGCGGCACCACCCGTCTACCGAGGGAGAGAGTGGAGCAGCACGCGGCCCTTGTACTGCTCTGAGGGCAATGGGTAATCGCTGTATTGAGTCCGTTTTCTCTGGGGTAAGTGGTTGATGTATGGGGTTAGGCAGGTTAGAGGCGGCGGCTGTGGTGTGCTTATGGAGCGGGTTGACGAGGTACAGGGACAGTCACTCCTCATCTAAGGCCAAGCACTAATGCGGTGAACGGAAAGTCACATAAATAGGATTGTCTTACAGTCAATAAAACTGATTAGGACGTCTGTCTGACTATTAACAACCTCCTATATTCTTACCAGAGTGGTTGAAGATTGTGCAGTTACTAAGTGAGGCGACTTGGGGTGTGTGTGTGGCCGGCGACTTGGGGTCGCTGACCATGTTGGAGTTTAGCAGTAACATGCATATCATGAACACGCGATACACCGTCATGAGCTTAAGGAAGAAAAGAGGAGTGTTCTTAGCTAAGGAATATGTTTACTTGTGTTAGGTGTAGACAGGGTGTAGTAGGTGTTGGAGCTCATAGGAAACCCGGTATCAATGGCTCCTCCGTCTCATTGACATTTGCCTTTATAGACGTTATAGAATGACGAAATAATAAGGTCCGCATATAAATAAGATTGCATATTAGTCTCTTAAAGTGGTGTTGTGTGTGCTATAGTGGCGATCTTCGTGAACAAATAAAAGTGATGCCCACATTGTGCATGCATCTGATCTGTGAAGAGACGACAGGGGTGTCTCGGCCACTTGGGGGTGTTTACACGGGTTCTGTACGGGAGCAAGACTCGTGCAGCAGCTTGTTCTGTACGGGAACAAGACTCGTGCAGCAGCTTGTTCTGTACGGGAACAAGACTCGTGCATCAGCTTGTTCTGTACGGGGATCGGCTTGTTCTATACCCTGACTCTCAAATGAGGTGAATTGAGCTCTCCCCCCTACGGATGGACGATTAGTGGTGGGTGTTGAAATAATAATTACATGGGAATGGTGGCGGCCTTCTGCTAGAGCAGGGGTCTCCAAACTTTTCAATGTAAGGGCCACATTATATATTTCCCATATTTATGCGGGCCGGAGGAATAAAAAATGAAATTGCTATTTTGTATAACTAAGATTGTCAATGTGCATTGTCAAAGTACAGAGAAAAGAATATTGTACAGTGTTTGTGCTCCCTGAAACGGAAGCAGAGAAGCCCCACTCGCCCTCCATCCCCACAATATACAGTTATACACAACTGATTGGTTGTAATGCACAACACATACCTACCAGTATTAGTATCTGTGCGTCACACTATCGAGAGAGAGGAAAACTGACTCGGGTTGAGCGCCACCAGTCAGCAGCCCCAGCTTTGAATAATTCTGCGATGCCATTCGTACGATAATTATTTTTTCAAGGCCACCACACAGGGATTTGTTTGGAGGGCCGGATGAGATTATGTGGCGGGCCGGATGTGGCCCGCGGGCCATAGTTTGGAGACCCCTGTGCTAGAGGTTATCATCATCATCTCGATTGACAACAAATAACATTTTACCTAATCTGAGGAATTCAGTTAAGTGTGAATACCGTCACAGAGGACAGAGAATCACACACAAGACAATAGGTGCAAACTGTAGACTAAGAGGCGAGCTGCTGCTCTGCTTGCTCAGCACCGTTCTCGCCAGTGTTGCTCACACTCTTGTAGTAATGTGCCTTACCCTAACCTACCGAGGAACCACCAACAATAACGGGACATTGTCAATGTTACAAGCCGCTTTTCATCTAAATATTAGTTATAGACCTTAATATAGGCCCCACATAATTTAAACCGTAAACATATACTGTCGTCCAGGTGTATTTTGCCAGGCGTTATATAGAATACATTACCAGTGTGTTGTAGCCATTAATTATAAAACGTGATCTAAAATCTACTAGAAGCCAAGATGAAGACGGGTGTGGCTGGCCTTGGTGTATATAGTAGTTACTGTGGCAGAAGGTGTGGAGGTGCGGTTTGTACTAAGCTTCTTCAAGGAGTCCCACAATGATAATACTAAAAGTCGACCACTACCTCTTGCTCTGTGATCAACACGTGTGTGAGAGGATAACTGCAGAACAACCATTGTTATTAGTGTGTTGAGGGCTAGTGTGACGCCTCAGTCCACCAGCCTGGTTCTTGAACCTGTCTAACATCATCTTACTTCTCTACTTAAACATATTTGAAGTGTGAAGCTTAACCTCTTTACTCCAAGTTGTCATACAACTGCTAACTTTAGTCAAGGCCTTGTTAATGGTCAGTCTTATTTACTGTGTTCGCATCAACTACTCTGGCTACCGCCAAGCTTTTCCATTATACACTAATATTTCCAATGTTTACCCTTGTAGATATCTCTTTACAAAATAGAATTAAAATTGCAACTTTTGATCTAATGAACAGCAAATGCTTTAAATCTTATTCCATGTTTTTTCTTTATTTATAAGATGGTTCAAAGCAATGACTTTGAAGAATGGTGGTGATGTGTGTGTGTGTGTGTGTGTGTGTGTGTGTGTGTGTGTGTGTGTGTGTGTGTGTGTGTGTGTGTGTGTGTGTGTGTGTGTGTGTGTGTGTGTGTGTGTAGTGTGTGTGTGTTTTTTTTTTTTTGGTGGTGATGGGTGTGTGTGTATATTGGTGGTGGGTGTGGCGGTGATGGGTGTGTGTGTGTATTGGTGGTAATGGGTGTGTGTGTTTTGCTGGTGGTGGGTGTGGTGGTGATGGGCGTGTGTTGGTGATGGGTGTGTGTGTGTTGGTGGTAGTGTTGCTGGTGGTGGGTGTGGTGGTGAAGGGTGGGTGTGATGGTGGTGGGGATAGGTGTGTGTGGTGGTAGTGGTGGATGTGGTGGTGAAGGGTGGGTGTGATGATGGTGGGGATAGGTGTGTGTGGTGGTAGTGGTGGATGTGGTGGTGAAGGGTGGGTGTGATGATGGTGGGGATAGGTGTGTGTGGTGGTAGTGGTGGATGTGGTGGTGATGGGAGTGTTGGTGGTGGTGCACGTGTGTGTGGGTCAACAATACCAATATTGCACATTTACCAGTTTAGTAGCAAAAGTAAATGCATGTTTGGTGGTATTCCCGCGGATGAAGGTGTGATGTGTTAATGAAGCTTGTGGGTGGTGGTGTCACTACCACCATGTACTACTACTACCACTATTGCTGCGGCTGCAACAACTACTGCTAGTGTGGTGTGAGGCCAACAGCTCTTAACTCTCTGCCTTCTCTTTCCTCTTGACGCACGCTCACACAGGCGCCTGGTTCAACAAAGATCAACTGGACCCAAGAGGTAAGACTCAACCTTTCTTGATACATTGTTGGCCCATGTGTCCGTATCAAGCGCCTGTGTTCCCTACTGACCACCTCCTGCTCCCATAACATCCCTACTCAACCTCTTGTGTTCAGCTTTAATGTTTCTACGCGCAGGCATGTGTACTTCTCAGGTGCCTCAACCTAGCCAAACCTAACACCCACGGATAGAAAACGGCAAAATCCATCAGTTTTGCTACCTGCTATAAATTGTAGTACATCACATTTTGACCGTTGGAGAGCTTATACGGCAAAATGTGATGTATTAGTCGAGATGACAGGTTGTAAACAAACTTGTTTGTTAGGGTGGTGTACCCTTTGTGAAGGTAGGTGTGTGTGTTTGTCTGTGTCCGCCTGTCTGTCTGTGTGCGTGTACGGGCCTGTGTGTGTCTGTGTCTGTGTGTATTTTCTCCACATGTAGTGTGTGACATGTTAGCTTTAGACTGAATGGTGGTGTCTATAGGTGAATAACTAAAGTCCCGAGTCATTAAAACTGGCTTTTATTTAATCCTCGGTCTTGACAATTTTGAAGTGTAGTGTGTTTAAGCAGCACAACTGTGGATGGTTCACCGCCGTACTAACTGTATAGTATGGAAAAACACGTTGGTAATCATAAGGCTTTGAATATAATCCTTGTGATGTTTATGTGGAACCTGTTTGTCTATGTAAGTTCAGTGCCATCCTCCACCCCTCACCTGTAGCCTGAGTAGATCAGTAAGTCCCCCCACCTGTTGCCTGAGTAGGTCAGTAAGTCCCCCCCCCTCACCTGTAGCCTGAGTAGGTCAGTAAGTCCCCCCCCCCCACCTGTAGCCTGAGTAGGTCAGTAAGTCCCCCCTCCACCTGTAGCCCGAGTAGGTCAGTAAATCCCCCCCTCACCTGTAGCCTGAGTAGGTCAGTAAGTCTCCCCCCCCCACCTGTAGCCTGAGTAGGTCAGTAAGTCCCCCCCTCACCTGTAGCCTGAGTAGGTCAGTAAGTCTCCCCCCCCCCACTTGTAGCCCGAGTAGGTCAGTAAGTCCCCCCCCCCCCCGTAGCCTGAGTAGGTCAGTAAGTCTCCCCCCCCCCACCTGTAGCCCGAGTAGGTCAGTAAGTCTCCCCCCCCCTACCTGTTGCCTGAGTAGGTCAGTAAGTCCCCCCCCCCCAGTAGCCTGAGTAGGTCAGTAAGTCTCCCCCCCCCACCTGTAGCCCGAGTAGGTCAGTAAGTCTCCCCCACCCCCACCTGTAGCCTGAGTAGGTCAGTAAGTCTCCCCCACCCCCACCTGTAGCCTGAGTAGGTCAGTAAGTCTCCCCCCCCCACTTGTAGCCTGAGTAGGTCAGTAAGGCCCCCGCCCCACCTGTAGCCTGAGTAGGTCCGTAAGTCTCCCCCCCACCTGTAGCCTGAGTAGGTCAGTAAGCCCCCCCCCCCACCTGTAGCCTGAGTAGGTCAGTAAGTCCCCCCCCCCCACCTGTAGCCTGAGTAGGTCAGTAAGTCCCCCCCTCCACCTGTTGCCTGAGTAGGTCAGTAAGTCCCCCCCCCCCCCACCTGTAGCCTGAGTAGGTCAGTAAGTCCCCCCCCCCCAGTAGCCTGAGTAGGTCAGTAAGTCTCCCCCCCCCACCTGTAGCCCGAGTAGGTCAGTAAGTCTCCCCCCCCCCACCTGTAGCCTGAGTAGGTCAGTAAGTCTCCCCCACCCCCACCTGTAGCCTGAGTAGGTCAGTAAGTCTCCCCCCCCCCACCTGTAGCCTGAGTAGGTCAGTAAGGCCCCCGCCCCACCTGTAGCCTGAGTAGGTCCGTAAGTCTCCCCCCACCTGTAGCCTGAGTAGGTCAGTAAGTCCCCCCCCCACCTGTAGCCTGAGTAGGTCAGTAAGTCCCCCCCTCCACCTGTTGCCTGAGTAGGTCAGTAAGTCCCCCCCCCACCTGTAGCCTGAGTAGGTCAGTAAGTCCCCCCCCTGTTGCCTGAGTAGGTCAGTAAAGTCCCCCCCACCTGTAGCCTGAGTAGGTCAGTAAGTCCCCCCCACCTGTTGCCTGAGTAGGTCAGTAAAGTCCCCCCCCCACCTGTAGCCTGAGTAGGTCAGTAAGTCCCCCTCCCCCCACCTGTTGCCTGAGTTGGTCAGTAAAGTCCCCCCCCCCACCTGTAGCCTGAGTAGGTCAGCAAGTCCCCCCCCCACCTGTTGCCTGAGTAGGTCAGCAAGTCCCCCCCCCACCTGTTGCCTGAGTAGGTCAGCAAGTCCCCACCCCCCCCCCACCTGTAGCCTGAGTAGGTCAGCAAGTCCCCTCCCCCCCACCTGTTGCCTGAGTAGGTCAGGAAGTCCCCACCCCCGACCTGTAGCCTGAGTAGGTCAGCAAGTCCCCACCCCCCCACCTGTTGCCTGAGTAGGTCAGCAGGTCCCCACCCCCCCACCTGTTGCCTGAGTAGGTCAGTGAGTCCCCCCCTCACCTGTTGCCTGAGTAGGTCAGCAAGTCCCCCCACCTGTAGCCCGAGTAGGTCAGCAAGTCCCCCCCCCACTTGTCCCCTCGTTAATGTGGAGGTCAAAGTTGTGTGCATAATAACGAGATAACACTCAAGAATTACCTTGGTACTATTAACACATTCAGATAAGAGTATCTTTATCTTATCTTAAGAGACCCACTAATCGTGACGGTCAGGTAGTTTTCCATACAGATCAATTAAGATATTTCTCTTCTCTCTAAAAATGAACTACAAAAGTTCCTTTCTCACACACAATGGGCTGGATGTTTGTCGGTAAAGGAGGCATTTCCCCTGAAGCACACCTCGACGTCTTCAAGGAGCCGGAAACAGTCAATAAGTGATCAGAATGAGCGATATATAGTAATCCTGGCCGGTCTGACGACATGGGAGGTGGTTACCCGATTGAGGTAATCTTCGCTCTGATTGCTCACATGGAGTCGGTGTCGACATAACCCTAGATAACGGGTTCAGAACATGGCGCTCCTGTCCCCCCCCTCACTTGCTGGACCACAGTGACATGGCCTTAGCTGCCATGGAAGACTAAACACTGGAATATGTTTACATACCTGCAGGGGCCAGGTGTAAGGTGCATGTCATCTGCGAGTAGTTGTCAATGGTGCTGTACAAAAGTTCACAAGACAGGACTCTACACACTGTTGCTTCTATAGATGCCATCTTGCTGGAAGGCTGTCATCCAGGATGAGGCCACTTGCAACTTGTTGTTAGATTTAGCTACTCGGAACAAGTTCCAAGTAGCACGGGCTATGGTGAGCCCATAGCGGACTTGCCTGGCACAAAAGCGGCGCTGTGTGAACACCTGCAAGTCTAGTCTGTTTACCACCTCCACACCTCCACCTATCCCCAAACCCTTCCCCCCCCCCCCCCAACACCCCTCTCCCCACCAAAACCCCTCTCCCCCCCCCCAACACCCCCACTCCCCCAGTAACCCTCTCTTTCACATCTTGCTCTTGTAATTGTTTCAACTCTCTCTTGAGCAGTTTCTGGAGGGTAGCCCTCAGTGTTTGCCTAACATTGGATGAGGTAGAATAGAGCTAAAAGCTACATGGGCGGGAATCTGAGAAGCCCCGCAGACAAGTACACTCCGGACCAGCCTGAGTAAGAACAAGGACACAATCAGTATTAGAGAAGCACCCGTTGTCAAGAGCATGAAAGTCCTTGGATATGGCATAACAAGAATACTAAATTGTTAAATATGTTACTGTTGGTATGGCCACACTTGCGCCCATACCAACGGCACACCTGCGCCCATACCAACGGCACACCTGCGCCCATACCAACGGCACACCTGCGCCCATACCAACGGCACACCTGCGCCCATTGAGAGCAGCAGCAGCAGCAGCAGCAGCAGCACAGGAACAGCTACACACACACAATCATAGTTATCAGTACCCACACACCTCGCTCATTACGGCTTCCCCCTCACACTGACGACAGAAAAATGTCTATATTAAACATAGGAGTTTGTTTGGTTATAAATAGAAACTGTCTAGCATGGGTTAATAGGCCCTATGCAATATCTTCTGTTTTGGTCTTAACACGACCTTCAGGATGGAGGCAGTGTTCGTCCCAGATAGTTTCTTACACACCTTGAAGGTCAGAAATTACACAAAACTAAGTTATTAGAGATCACCCAAGACGGTGGAGGATAAGTGGTTATATTTTGATTCTTGCCGCTGGAGGCGTCTAGTTTGTGCACCCCATACTTATCCTGTGAGCGGTAGCGCAAAAAGCATTACAGAGGGCACAAAATGTCTTTATCAGACCTCAACGGAGATTATTACATACTTTCATCTGTCCTTCATGCCTTATAATTACAATGTCAGCTAGTTAGAGAATGTTCTATTTCAAGAGCTATATATTTACAGCAAATCATTATACATTAATTGTAGGTGTTATCACTAATACATAATTGTTTGAGCCTCAACGGAGATTATTACATACTTTCATCTGTCCTTCATGCCTTATAATTACAATGTCAGCTAGTTAGAGAATGTTCTATTTCAAGAGCTATATATTTACAGCAAATCATTATACATTAATTGTAGGTGTTATCACTAATACATAATTGTTTGAGCAATGGAGATATTAGTCATAGGGGAACTGCTGTTTATTAAGTCTTCACAATACACTACTTGTTTCTTAATCTCCTATATCGTTTATCTACTGGGAGCAAAATGGTTGAGTGGTTATAATTCCCCTAAGACCCCAGAGAATGGGAAGTTCCTCGCAAATCTCCACAATGACAACATTACCTTGTTTTTGAGGAGATTACAACGAGCGTGCGGGAGTGTGTGGCGCAGGCGGCCACTGTGGGCCTGGTGCAGTAAGCAGTCACCACCTGTAGCCCCTGGTAACCCACCACACACGCGTCACTAGCATATCCTAACTTGTATACCAATTTTCCCCCTCCCATCCTCCTCCCCCCTTCCTTATCCATCCCCGTGATCAATCGTTATTAGAAGCTAGACGCAAACATTTGCCACTTGGTAATGTGGTATCTCCACCTAAGGACGCT